AAGCAGAGCTCTGAGCAACACACTCAGAATTGCCTTCCCTTTCACACTGGTCCTGTGCCTTTCAAATGCTGTCACTTCCCTCAAGATGAGCCACTCGGAGCCAGGAAAAGAACAGCCTGAGGATGTCAGGCTATTCTCTGTATGTCCAGTATGTATCTGAATCTCAGGATACACAAAACTTGCATTCAGTGGAGCCCTCCTAGTATACAGCTGCTACTTCCTGAATCCTTTCTGTGTGTTGTATACGTGGTGAGTTGTGGTAACACTGCAAAAATCCCCACCCTTACTGTCAACCACAGAAAGCGTCTGGTCTCTTCTCATAGCAGAGCTATGAGAATCAGGGCATCTTACTTTCCCTAACCTTCTGTAGCTTTCCTTTTAGGACAGGATTAGGAGAGCAATGCATTCTTGAGTTTTCGTGAAGAATTACATGTGATATACCACTTATGATGGTACAAACTAAGGAAAGATAAGAGGTTACCACTATATATTTGGAAGCCTAGATTATTACAGTGTAAAGGCATCTGAATTAGTAACTCTTTTACTCATATAACTATGCCCAGTCAATATTAGTTTCCTTTGACCTTTGGGGAAATCTGGTTTTGTTTTTTTTTTCCCCCAAAATACAATCTATTTTTCCTAATAGCTCAGGATGCTAATTACTTTTCTTCCTCTCCTTATACCTCTGTGCAGCCTTTTGATTTTTTTTTTTTTTTTGCTAGGATATAGAGCTCTGTCATCTCTCCCAGAGGAGCCAGAAAAGCGAAAAGCATCTTTTATTTATCTATTAAATATTAACCCTTAGCAACTATCTATAGTTGTATAGAATAAATTATCAAAATGTCACTAAGCTGAGGAACAGCAATGGAGAATCATATGCCACAAAAATATTGTCATCCCTATTGCAAAACGGTATTGCATCCCTATGGCAAAACGGAGGCACTGAGCAGGGACATAACTTGCTGGCGCTGATCATGCCAGGAAAGCCTGACCAGAACCTCTGGCTCCCTGATTACTAAAGGCTCCTCTACTCTGAGTCTCTTTTCTCCATCACTCCTCCCACCCAAATCTTTCCAATACTGCAAGACTACATCTAACACTACATCTAACACTTAATACCTACAAAAAGAAGAAAAATGCTAATCCACAAGCAACGACAGAAAAAATCAGTAGATGGAATAAAATAGTTTAGACAAGATGCAATGCTACTATGCACAGGTGAATATTGGAGTAGTAAACTCAGTATTTTCCAGATAAAAATGACGGAGAAATAATTCCCAGGTTTCTTTAAAATCCTTGGGGTTACTTCCTGAAACAGTAAAAAAGAGACACTTAGAGACAGAGCAAGAACTTCTTAATTCTGGTGGCTAAAACTTGGCAAGGAACTCGGACTCAGTCTGACCTAATCTAAAAGAAAGAAGGGACCTGAAAGGAGTGTAACAACAAAAGTCAAGTTCACTTCTAAGTCTGCAAATAAGATCCCACAGTACAAAAAGGAGGAAGAGTGTCATATCCTTTCAATTGCTTACAGCCTCCTCCTGTGAGTTATGTGCACTCTCTGCAAAAATAAGATGTCCTCCTAAGAACTGTTTTGGTGGCATTGTTATCCCAAGCCTGAGAATTTTTGAAATTTGTATATCCATATTTTAGATCAATATTTCAAACAATCTTTACCTCCTCATGCATTAGAAATTTAAAAAATTAACTCTAATTAGTGTTTTGTTGGTGCTTATAATTTATATGCTTGGCTTTGAAGATAAAAATTAGTGTACATGTTCTTACATGTTATTTCTCTCACACACTCTGATGTTATCTGGCCATTCTCTAAATTAAAACAACAGAATTGAAAATATTGAGTCATGGGTGTGTATGTGTGTGAGTGTGTATGTGTGTGTGTATCAGAGTTTCAGGGTAGCAGTGAAGCAGAAGAAGAGTGCAGTGGTCAGATACATTGGCTCTGATGTCAGAATTTCACACTAGCTTGTGGACTTGGGCAAGTCACTAATTTCTTGGGGCCTCAGTTTCATCTACAAAATGGGAATTAAGCCCAATACTACTTGCAAAGTGTTTAGTACAATGTCCAGCATAAAATGTATGTGTGATACATGTAGAATAGTAGTTAAGAACATAGACTCCATCCCCAAACACCCTGGGTTCAAATCCCAACTCAACTACTTACTAATTGGGCAGTTATTCAACTTCTCAGTGACTCTGTTCCTTCATCTATAAAATGAGAATAAGTATAGTGTTTATCTCATAGAGTTGCAGTGAATATTTAAAGAGTTAGAATATATAAACCCCTTAGAAAAGTACCCAGCACACAAGCATTTGCTATGATTATTATTCTAAAATTGCACTATCCAATATATGTGGCAACTGAGCTTCTGAAATGTAGTTAGTCCTAATTGTGATGTATTCCAAGTATACACATCAAACTTTACTTAATATAAAAATGTAAAATATTTTGATAATTTTTATATTGATTACATGTTGAACTGATATTATTGATATATTGAATTAAATATATTTTTATAATTAATTTTACATGTTTCCTTTTATTTTTTTAAATGTAACTACTAGAATATTTAAAAGTACATATGTGGACCAGGCGGGATGGCTCATGCCTGTAATCCCAGCACTTTGGGAGGCCAAGGTTGAAGGATTGCAGGAGTTTGAGACCAGCTTTGGCATCATAGTGAGAGCTCATCTCTACAAAATAAAAAATAAAAAAATTAGCCAGGTGTGGTGGTGTGCACTTGTAGTCCCAGCTATTCAGGAGGCTGAGATGGACAGATCAACTGAGCCCAGGAGGTCAAGGCTGTGGTTAGCTGTGATCTTGCCACTGCACTCCAGCCTGGGTGACAGAGTGAGTCTCCTCCTCAACAACAAGAAAAGAACATATGTGACCTGTATTATATTTGTATTGGACATTGCTTTTTTAGAATATAGAAATCTACAAAATAAAAAAAAGAAAGAAAGGCCGGGTGTGATAACTCATGCTAATTCCAGCATTTTGGGAGGCTGAGACAAGAGGATTGTCTGAGCCCAGGGGTTTGAGACCAACCTGGGCAACATGGCAAGACCCCATTTCTATAAAAAATAAAAATAAAATAAAATAAGTAAACAAGAAAAAATAAATCTTAAAGCAAAAATTCATTAAAAAGGACCCTAGTGACGGGCTCGGTGGCTCAGCCTGTAATCCCGCGCCTTTGGGAGGCTGAGGTGAGTGGATTGCCTGAGCCTGTGGGTTCGAGACCCGCCTGGGCAGCGAGACCTCATCTCTACAATAAATCAAAAAATCAGCCAGGCGTGGTAGTGCATGCCTGTAATTCCGGCTACGCGGAAGGCTGAGGTGGAAGGATCACCGGAGCCCAGCAGGTTGAGGCTGTGGTGGCCGGCAGCGGCCACAGCACTCCAGTCTGGGTGACAGAGTGAGACTCTAACTCATAAACAAACAAATAAACAAACAAACAAAAAAACTGAAATTAGTTGTCTTCTTTAAATCTCTATTTTCAGCAGTTCAAACGAGTAAGATAACCTATTTGTATAGTTTTGAAAATCTCAATGCAAAATGACAAATTTGAAAAGCACATTTTTGATATATAGCAGTTGTGGTACCTAGATAGAATTAAATGCCCTTTCATGGGGCTGTGTCTGTTTTACAGTTAAAGTGGTTTCCTACTTTGATAATAGGCTGTGTTCCAGAAGTTCATTTGATAGTAGTTTAAAATATATTCTCCCATAAAACCAGTTACATATGTTTACTGGCCAAACTATAGCAATCTATTTATACCTAAATCTATTTTTCTGTCTATCTACCTATCTGTCTATCTATCTATCTATCTATCTATCTATCTATCTATCTATCTAATCTAATCTAAAATAGAGTACTAGAAATACTTTTTAATAAATTAAAAGCCAGACCTTAAAATAGACATTAAATCTAAGATACCAGGCTTCTAGTTCCCTGCCTGGCCACCTGGTGTGCACTCCCAGATCTGGTGGAAGAATGAAATGACCTCCACCTTGGGGGTGAAAGGGAAGAAGGGGAGGGAGGTGGCTGTCCTGTGTCAGTCTCCATGCTGAAGGTGAGTGAACCATGCACCATGTTGCCAGCCTTGCTATTTGCATTTTATTCCATATCTAATGTCTGGCTGCTATCGTTAAACTTTCACCCCAAATCTGACCTTCCCCACAAAGGAAATTTCCTTCCGTTGATAGGATGGGGTTTGATTTTATCCACACTGTCAGCAGGTTTCCTGTGTATGCGTATAACATTTCCCTGGGAAAAGTGACCGAGTGACCGCCTCTCCCCTCCACAGTTGCTGTTCTGGGGTGAGATTGTGAAGAGTCGTTTTTCATCAGTTCAGCTGTGGGGTCAGGGCCTTCTCCAGCCCACAGCCTTGTCCAGAACTCTCCAGGAGCAGAACTAGGTCTTGACAAGCAGCTTAGGGATGCTGAGGTGGATAAGAATGACTCTTAGTCCTGCTGCTGATCTCTAACCTGTCCTTACCCTTTTATCTTCCTGGTCCTATGACTTGAAGACCTGGGTTAGTGCTGAGGGCAAGCAGGAAGTGGGAATCCCAGGGCTTTTTTTTTTTTTTTTTTGGCAGTTGAAATGTTTTCATTAATTTTCTATTTAGCCACTTGATCAAAATATTTTACAAGTGATGAAGATCTTTTGCAGTTGTGTCCTCATGTCTTAAAAGACTCCTATCAGGCACTAGATTGACAAGTAAGAAACTTAAACTTAATTATTTAAAAATATTATCACTTTAGAGTGGAGTTAATGAGAAATATGAAGAAATAGAAGACGCCATGAAAGAGTGACCATGAGCTTTAACTGACTGGTTTACTACTTTTTTCCCCAATAAATTCTTGCTTTTAGGTATGATTAAAATAGCATGGTCTTATAGCTTTCAGAATGGTTTGAAAGGAAATTAATGTAACTTTGCTGTTTTCTTGTTTGTACTATTCTTATTTTTCCTCCTCATTCATAGAACAGACATTCTCGTCGCATATACTGGAACCAATAGAAGAACTTTCAGAGGAAGAAAAAGGTAACAAAGGGATTGATCAGGTTTTACCTGCATAGATTATGCTTATACACCAAAACCCAAGCCTTGAAAATACGAGCCAGTGGCTTGTATCATACCACAATTAGGAAGGACATTTAGGTTTGGATTTTATTTTCAAACTACATGTAGTATTTTGCTATCTTAGTCTCCTGGTATTCTGTTATATTTTCCCATGCTTTACTGGATTCTTATGCAAGCAGATGAAATACACTTTGTGCATCAGGGGACTTAAAAAGTTAACGTTTTTATTTCAATGCTGATATTTTCAGATCAAACAACAAGTTGACATATATGCATTGTGTATCAGATTATGAAAATGTTTGTTTTACAGTGGTGATTTCTCATACCCTGAATCTGAAATGAGTTGGTGACGTGCTCATTTCTCTTTTTTTTTTTTTTGAGACAGGATGTCACTCTGTTGCCCAGGCTGGAGTACAGTGGTGTGGTCCTAGCTCACCGCAGCCGCGGATCCTGGCTCACCACAGCTTTCATCTCCTGGATTCAAATGATCCTTCCACCTCAGCTTCCCAAGTAGCTGGGACTACAGGTGTGTGCCACCATACCCGGCTAATTTTTATATTTTTGGTAGAGATGAGCTCTCACTATGTTGCCCAGGCTGGTCTCGAACTCTGGGCTCAAGTGATCCTCCTGCCTTAGCCTCCCAAAGTGCTGGGATTACAGGCATGAGACACTGCACTTGGCCCCAGATTATTTTTTAATAGTAAGAAAAGCATAATGTCTAAGCTCTGTATGTGGAATTATTTATGTGCAAAACAGTATCTTTATGGTGGATTTTGGGAACTGTTATAGGTTTTGGAAGATAGTTAAAATTATTACTCCTTACTCTTTTTATTTGACAGTTCTAAAAATTATTTTCTATCAATTTTTAAAGTTTATGAAAAAATGTTTAATTATAAGGAGTGTTTTCTCATGCTACACTTGTAGATCCCAAAACCAATTATATTTGAATCCATTTATCATAATTTTTTTCTTAATACCATTTTACCATATATCACTTATTTTGGACAAAGCAAACTGTTGATACTTATATGGGTTCTGGTTTTGTCATTTTTATCAGGAAGAGAAGGAAAGAAGTAACATTACATATGTTCTAATATGTAAAATCTTAATATATGTTATAACTCCTGCTGTGTTCTCTAGACATTTATCAAAATGTTTTTATTTTACAAGGCTACAAATTGAGAATTGACTAAATCAGACATATTTATAATATCTATATATGATGTATATTTTCATCATAAGATCTTGCTATGTTAATCATCAGTACCTTTCATGTATTTTTGATGGAGTTTATTTTGCTTCCATGTATCTTTGCAATTTGTCTTGACTTTCTATATTTTAAGCAGACTACTTATTTTAGTATTTAATATCTTCCTGTTTAAGTAGTTGCTTATGGTTGGCACTGATTTTGAAGAGTTTTGTTTTAGTTGCTCTATTTCTTTCCTACGTCTTTGTTCCAATATTTAGAAACTTGCTTCTATGGAATGAATATAGAAAAGGAATGAAATGTAGATACACTAAATTACAATAAAGCCATAAAAAATTATTGAGAAAGCTGGACATGGTGGCTCAAGCCTGTAATCCCAGCTCTTTGGAAAGCGGAGGCGAGAGGATTGCCTGAGCTCAGGGGTTCGAAATCAGCTTGAGCAATATGGCAACACCTTACTCTACAATAAATCAAAAAAAATTAGCCGGGCATGGTGGCACATGCCTGTAGTTCCAGCTACTTGGAAGGCTGAGGTGGAAGGATCACCTGAACCCAGCAGGTCGAGGCTGCAATGATCGTGAGCATGCCACTGTTCTCCTGCCTGGGCGACACAATGAGACTCTAACTCAAAAAAAAAAGTTATTGAGAGAGAATTAGGGGTATTCTGGTGAGCGTAATTTTAAAAGATATTGCCATCCTTTTATGGGATCCTCAGCCTTCTTCCATTGTCAAAGAAATACAGAGCTGGGTGGGTCCTTGGCCACAGCCTAGGAGGATCACTTGAGGCCAGGAGTTTGAGACCAACTTGGGCAATGTCACAAGACCTCATCTCTACAAAAAAATTAGCTGAGCATAGTGGCACGCGCCTATAGTCCCAGCTACTCAGGAGGCTGCTGCTGGAGGATTGCCTGAACCCGGGAGATCAAGGTTGCAATGAGCTATGATCTTGCCACTGTACTCTAACCTGGGCAATAGAGTGAGATCTCAACTCAGAAAAAAAGAAAAAAAGAAAAAGGTGACTCCAGCCCAGGTATCAAGCAGGATGCCTTGCAAACTAAATCTGTTCCACAGCTGCTGATTTGTTTGGGCTACATGATTGGCATCTATTTTGTAATTGGTTGCCAGTATTTAAAAATCAGAATATTTCACATGAATATCCTAATTTCTGACTTCTCCTGAAAAAACTGGAAACCCTGGGCACATTGTCTATTTGGCAACATTCAGCAGGGCTGAGCCACCATCACCAGCTGTAGAAGGGCCTACATTTTAGTTATATGTTTGTGATCCCAAAGGCAAAGAGAAATAGTATTGTCTTTAAGCAATTTTCAACCATGCCTGTTGGTTTCCTGGAGACGTGATGAACAAATTTCACCCTATTCGAGTTCTGAATAATGACCCACCATTTTATCAGCAAGTAACAGGCTTCCTCTTTCCTACATACTTACCATTTATTAAAGTCCAAGGCATAAAATCCCTTATTATTTGAAGAACCTATGAAATGTGTCAGGAGGTTCATAGGAAGGATCACATAATTTCAAAACTGCAATTCCAGGCTGTATAGTTCACACTCGTTTAAAAGATGAATCAGCCGGGCGCTGTGGCTCACGCCTGTAATCCCAGTACTTTGGGGAGATGAAGGCGAGAGAATTGCCTAAGCCCAGGGGTTCGAGACCAGCCTGGGCAACATGGCAAGACCTCGTCTCTACAATAAATCAAAAAATTAGCTGGATGTGGTGGCTTGAACCTGTAGTTCTGGCTACTTGGAAGGCTGAGGCGGAAGGATCGCCTGAGTCCAGCAGGTCAAGGCTGCGGTGGCCGTGAGCGTGCCACTGTGTTCTAGCCTGGGCAACAGAGTGAGACTCCAACTCAGAAAAAAAGAGCTGAATCAGTGAGGCTTCTTGGAGGAACTGTGATTCGTCCACCCAGCGTGGTCTTTTGATTTCCAGTTTCTACACACTCTATCATTGTGCCCATGCTTTTAGAGTTCTTCCACCAACGTAAGACAGGAACTTGGGGTCTCTGACAGCAAACACCATCATTGGTTGTTGCCACATTTGGGGGTCTGGAGTGGAAAAGAAAATGATCCTTGCTACGCTCCATGTGTACAGACAAAGTTCTGCTGGGAAATAGGAGAGTGCTAAGGACCACGGAAGACACCCCAGGGTCTATGTGCACTGCTACAGAAACCAGTAGACTGCATCCTTCTAGCACCTCCGTGGAGTCATGCTGGCAGCGGATTAATTTCCATCAATAAATTCCTCAGCTTGTGCTAACATTTGGCAGATAAATGCCTGTGATGCTAAATGTTGGCAGTGATTTGTAAAAACATTGTGACTGTTACCAAGAAGTAACTCAGGCATGTATATTTCTGCACACTTGCTTTTTGACAGTTGTGTAGAGGCATACTTGATCTTGGTAGTTTGTAGAATATTAGATTGTGAGGACCACAGGAATCTTAGAAGCTGTTTCATTTTTCAGAAACGACATGCAGGGGATTAAGCACCTGTTATAGGTTGTTGAGTTTAATTAGTGACAGGCCTGGAACTAAAGCCCAGGTTTTCTGCTTTCTACAGTTTAATGCAGAGGACAAATGGAAAGGGGGAAGCCAGTGCAGATTCTACAGGACCAGCTGGGTGGCCTTTGGAGAAGTCCCTGTACCTCTCTGTTTTTAGTATGCTCGGGTGAAAAACGGGGTTCATTACTAGGGTGACAGATAAAGTCCCTTTCAACTCAGAAACTGTTTGTTTTTTAAAAATTTTTCTCTTTGCTCTATAATTCTTTGCTTACCACAAAAGGTATTTTGCATGGCCGATATAACTGATCACATGTGTGGACTATTGTGTATTATAGCCTGACCATCTGCTTGCCTGTGATTTAAAATTTTTATTTGAAGGAAATTCTACTCTCTAGAAAGTTTTGCCCTGTTGGTCTTAGTGAGCAATCCTTGCTTTAACTGAAATCTTCCACGGTGATTGATTTTCAAGTGATTAATTTCATCTCTTCCTGAAAACTTTTTCTCCTACCTACTCTGTGTTCTTACTCTTGCTTCTGTTGGCCAGCCCCTAGCTTTGTTAGAATCTTAACCAAAGGTGTTCTAATTATTCGTAAATGTTTTTCCAAAGCAAGCACCAACATATCATAGGAAAATGAATTTGGGGACAGAAGAAAGTGTTTAATTTGCCATAATTTGGGGAGAACTTAGTCATCAAAATGAACTTGTCATGAGGGTTGAAGATGGCCAAGGACACATCAGGAAAGGAATTCAACAACTGATTGCAAAGGCTATAGCTCTTCTAAACTGTGGCCAGGACATTTAGGCATTGCTTGACTCCTGTGTGTGGTCCCATGTCTCAGATTAAGTAGGGCCCAGAGTGACTGTTTAAACCATGCTTCTGCGTTACTTCCTTTATTATCTGAGATACTGGCCAAAAAATATATATCTTTGCATAATCAGGGCGTGTCTGTTTCAGTGGTAGCACCATCACTTCCAGGCTCTCTCTTAATGACTCTTCTTGTTTTTAGCCCTAGTTAGTTGCAAACTTGATGACCAACTGGAAGCCAAAGCCGGCACACATTGGCTGCAACTAAGATTTGGATGGATTGTCAGTTCGTAGGACAGAAGTGCTTTTTGTTGACGGTTTGAGGATATTTGCAAGCATTGGCGGTTAAACAGCAGCATGAATGCAGAGAATACAAAATTTAAGATTACTTCTGACTTTTAGTCATATGCAATTTTATAATTTCAGTTTAGCAAACAGCAATGGCAAAGTATAGAAAAGTATTTTCGTGCAGGATTTTTTTCTTCTATGTAATGTGCACATAATAATTTGACTAATTTTGCTTTCAGTAAAACTTCATTAATTTAAAAGAAATATTTTTTACCGCTGGGGTTGAGCTGGTGTTTAGAAAACATCTTGAACAAAAAGCATTTTGTTCAAGATTCTTTGCAAATCCGAGTGCTGTGGATATTAAAAATCTCATCTACTGAGGTGGGTGAGGTTGTGGCAGAGGGGGGGTCTCGGGCCTGCCTGCAGCCCCACACCTAGAGAATGGCATTTGATGCCACACCTTGGTGAGCAAAATGCCCCTGTGTAGATCAGACTCCAAAATAATCACAATAATTGCAAAAAGATGCAGTAATAGTATAGTTATTGCATTTCTCCCAGATAGGTCTTTGGACATTTGGTAAGGGTCTGAAATGCCAAGCATTGGGTCTCTTTAACTAAATCTTTAGTTTTCTTGGACATAAGAACTCAGATTTTCTTTTTTTTTTTGAGTCAAAGGTTTACTCTGTCACCCAGGCTGGAGTGCAGTGGCATGCTGCTCATGGCCACTACAGCCTCTGCCTGCTGGGTTCAGGCGATCCTTCCGCCTCAGTCTTCCAAGTAGCTGGAACTACAGGTACACACTACTATACTTGGCTTATTTTTTTTATTTATTGTTGAGACGAGGTCTCACCATGTTGCTCAGGCTGGTCTTGAACCCCTGAGCTCAGGTAATCCTCTTGCCTCCACCTCCCAAAGTGCTGGAATTACAGGCGCGGGCCACCGTGCCTGGCCTAAAAGACTTTCTTTTTTGTTTTTATTATTTTTTTGAGTTGGAGTCTTAACTCTGTTACCCAGGCTGGAGTGCAGTGGCATGCTCACAGCCACCGCAGCTTTGGCCTGCTGGGCTCAGGCAGTCCTTCCGCCTCAGCCTTCCAAGTAGCTGGAACCACGGGCACATGCCACCATGCCCTGCTAATTTTTTTAATTGATTGTAGAGACGAGGTCTTGCCCAGTTGCCCAGTCTGGTCTCAAACTTCTGGACTCAGGCAATCTTCTCACCTCTGCCTCCCAAAGTGCTGGATTACAGGCATGAGCCACTGCACCCCATATGAATTCAGATTTTCAAAAGTTATGCTGTCACTCTCCTTCTCCAAACTCTCTTGAACTTAACATTTTTTTTGTGTGCGGAACAAAAGAGAATAGAGCTGGAAAAGTGAGGAGAATATGGCCTGTTGTTTTGGGGTTTTTTTGGTTTTAATTATAGGTTATTTTAAACAAAATCTGCTTTTCCTGAGACTTTTGTTGACTTTTCCATTTTGGTAAATACTCTGAGGGGGATAATAATTTTCACATTTTGAAATTTTATATGCACTTAGCATCTACTAAACTTACTACCTAAAAACTTTTAATTATTTAAAATAATTTGGGCTTTTTCTTTATAAGATGGTACATAAATTTTAACTGAACTTAGAGATGAATTTTTAAGGAAATAGTGATATAATTCTAGTGATAAAACATTGGACTTCTAAATGCATTTTTTCCATTATGCTTTCATAGATACATATATTTCTTATATTATTTATCTAACTATAATTCAGGTAAGTGATCAAGAGTCTTTAAAGACACTTAAGTTTTGAAGAAGACTTATAATAGTTTTAAAAGCTATAAGCATTATGTATTGTGCTGAATGACTAAAATATCCAAAACTTTTGAAACATTATAAATGCTTACTTGCTGTTTAAATGTTGTGCTTTACCATTTTCTGCTTAGATATTTAGTGTATTTGTTTAATTATTTTTTAACACATTTTTTAAAACCTTATTTCAGGAAGAGAAAATGAACAGAAATTAAAAAACAACAAAACGCATTTAAGGAAAGCTTTGAAGCATGACCCCTTCCTCACTAAAGGAATAAGAACAATGGTGGAACAGAACTTGGTGGAGAAACTGGAAAGCCTAGGCATTGATGCAGTATGTTCATTCATTTCTTGGAATATTTGCTGGTTTTGTCATATTTTGGTTTCAAATAAGAAACTATTAGAAATGAGAAAAAGGCACGTCACTTCTGCTCATGCTTGAAGACCATGGGCTAATGCGACCTACATTATCAAACATTTAGATAACATTCACTGGGTGCCTGGCATATTTCTTTCTTCCCTTTCTTTCCTTCCTTTCTTTCCTCCTTCCTCTCTCCCTTCTTCCCTCTTCCCTTCCTTCCTTCTCTCCCTTCCCTCTTTCCCTCCCTCCCTCTTACTTTGTCACTCAGGCTGGAGTGCAGCTGCACCATCACAACTCACTGTAGGCTCCACCTCCTGGGCTCAGGCAATCCTTCCACCAGAGCCTCCCATGTAACTGGGACTACATGCATGCGCCACCACGCCCGGCTAATTTGTTTGTAGAGACGAGGCCTCACTATGTTGCCTAGACTGGTCTTAAACTCCTGGGCTCAAGCATTCCTCCTGCCTTGACCTCCCAAAGTGCTGGGATTACAGACATGAGCCACTGCGTCGCACATTTCTAAGATGTTAACAAATGTCAACTCATTTACATGGAGAAACAAATCTCTGAAATAAGTGACATTATTATCTTTGACTTTTACAGAAAGGTTAAGTGACTTGATTAACACCACACGGATAGTAATGAAGGAGCCGGTGTTTTTATCCAGGTGGTCACAGTGCTGCTTGCATCCTGATATTAACCCCAGATTGTTGCCTATTACAAAATTACTTCATAAATATGTGTGGAGTGAATGGATGAATGAATTGTATTTCTTTTCTTTTTTTTTTTTTGAGTTGGAGTCTCACTCTGTTGCCCAGACTGGAGTGCGGTGGCTGCTCCCGGCCACCGCAGCCTCGACCTGCTGGGCTCCAGCGATCCTTCCGCCTCAGCCTTCCAAGTAGCCGGAATTACAGGCATGCGCTACCACGCCCGGCTGATTTTTTGATTTATTGTAGAGATGAGGTCTCGCTGCCCAGGCGGGTCTCGAACCCGCGGGCTCAGGCAATCCACTCACCTCAGCCTCCCAAAGGTGCAGGATTACAGGCTGAGCCACCGAGCCCGGTATGAATTATATTTCATATTGGTGTGAGGTTGAATAATTTCGGTACATCGTATTACATATAGACTCTTTGCTTTTTGTGTTTTTAGTTGACATATGAGGGGGAGAAAAAAAACAAAACCCAGAATTATCTTTTGGAGGGTGGACTCCTTGTAATACAGGCTTTCCCCACTACATAAGTGATCTAGGAACCCACTGGCATCAGGGTACCTGCTAGCGTGATTGTGAAAGGCTGTGCTCGGCCTCAGTTAATTTTTTTTCTTTTTTGAGATTTTTTTCAACACGCTTGCCCATTTCATGTTGGATAATTTACCTGCCCACATCGCCCTGAATGTTCAGCAATTTTTGACCAAAAATGACATGACCCCCATGCCATTTCACCCGATCACACCCCAAGCGACTATTCACCTGATCACACCCCCAAGTGACTTCTTTTTGGTTTTCTTGGATGAACAAAGTCCTCAAAAGGGAAACATTTTGCCAATGTAGAAGAGGTGAAATAAAAAACGGCAGGAACACTGAAAGGCATCAAAACGACGAGTTCAAAAACTGTTTTGAGCAGTGGAAAAGCGTCTCAGTAGGTGTATTGCATCAAAGGGAGAGCATTTTGAAAGTGACAGAAGTTTAAACATGCAAGAATAAATATATAATTTTTAATAAATATATTCTGGGTTTGTTTGGGTCCCCCCATACATAAAATCATAAGCAAAAGAAGATACAAAATACTACACAGTGTCTGACTCCATTTTTATGAGGTTCTAGAACAAGCAAAATTATGTCAGAATATCCTTTACCTCTGGTTGAGAAATGAAGGGAAAAGGTACTAGGAAAAGGTAAAAGAGGGTTTTCCAGGGTGTTAGAAATGTGCCAGTTTGTCATCTGGGTGCTGGTTACTGATTACACACACATCATGTGCATGCAAATCCGCATATATACGTACAAATGTACAAACAGGTATGCACAGAAATATATTCACATCCACACAGACATCTGAAAACTCATGCATACATTCATGTTCACACATGCATGTGTATACACATATGTATGCACCCATATGCACATATATATATCCATATGCACACATGCACACAGATATCTGCATACATACATGTGTTTGTATACATGTTCATGTCTGCATACGTGCTTTTGATTTTATCCATGATTCATGACTGTTGTTTCATGTAGCAGTGGTTTGTTCTTTATTTATTGCATATAATATTCTGTTGTATGAATATCCTGTAATCTATCTCTTTCCCTGCTGATGGACATTTGTGTTTCTAGTTTGGGGCTCTTCTTGGCTGTTCATTCTTATACCTGTCTTTTGGTGGACATAGGCATTCCTTTTTCTTGGACGTATATCTAGAAAGAAAATTGCTGGGTCAAAGGGGGGAAGTATATGTTTCTTTTTTTTTTTTTTTGAGTCGTAGTCTCTGTCGCCCAGGCTGGAGAGCAGTGGTGCACTCACGGCCATGGCAGCCTCGACCTGCTGGGCTCAGCCTATCCTCCCACCTCAGCCTTCCAAGTAGCTGGAACTACAGGCATGTGCCACCACGCCTGACTAACTTTTCTTGATTTATTGTAGAGATGAAGTCTTGCTAAGAAAACGACCCAATTAAAATCAGAACCCCAAAACCCACTTGCAAACAACCAACATGAAAAACTACAGTTTTAAGAAATAATTTGCATAGAATCCACAGATACTCATGAATGTCTTTGATTTCCTCTGCCCTAAGGGTGGTCAGAACCCACCGAGTCTGTATGGAAATTAAAAAGACTGACAATACTAAGCATTGATGAATGATATGGAAGAACTGAAGTCTAGTATGCTGTTAGGAACAGTGTGAACTAGTACAAACACTTTGGAAAACTATTTGGCAGTACCTATTATATGAAATACATACCTCAGGCGGATGCGGTGGCTCATGCCTATCATCCCAGCACTTTGGGAGGCCGAGGCAAGAAGATTGCCTGAGCCCAGGGGTTCGAGACCAGCCTGGGAAACTTGGTGAGACCTCATCTCTACAATAAATCAGAAAATTAGCTACGCATGGTGGTGCCCATGGTGGTTTGGAGAGCTATTTCCAGCTGGATGAGCTGTCCCAATATCATTTGTTGAATAATCCATCCATTCCCCCATTTATTTGAAATGACACCTTTATCATATAGAAATCCCTATGTATATTTGGGTTTGTTTTTGAACTTTCACTCATTTTACCTTGTTTTTTGTATACCTTCACTCATAACATACTAATTTAGTTGTAGTCGTTTTTTCCTGTGTTTTAATATATATATATATATATATTTTTTTTTTTTTTGACTCAGAGTCTCACTCTGTCACCCAGGCTGAAGTGCAGTGACACAGTCACGGCTCACTTCAACCTCAACCTCCTGGGCCCAGGTGATCCTTCCACCTCAGTCTCCCGAGTAGCTGGGACTACAGGCATTGCACCACCATGCCTGACTAATTTTTAAATTTTTTTGTAGAGATAAAGTCTCACAGTGTTGCCCGGACTGGTCTCAAACTCCTGGGTTCAAGTAATTTCCCCACCTCAGTCTCCCAAAGTACAGGGATTACAGACGTGAGCTACTGTATCTAGCCACCTTCTTTATTTGTTTTCTTATTTCAAAAATTTCTTGGCATATTTTATCTTCCAGTGAATTTCAGGAACAACTTCTCCACTTCCAGAATAACCCCGTTGGGATTCTGATCGAAATTGCTTTAAATTTAGTGTATTAAGTGGAAAGGATTGACATTTGTACAATGTTGGGTGTTACCCTCCAACTACATGATACAGGGAGACAGATAGGCAGCAACTGATCACATAGACAGATGGTGGATCACCGATGACAGATTGTACTCAGTGAAATGGAGGAAAAATAGAGGGACGTCAATTAAATAAATGAGGTCAGAGAAAACTTCTTGGAGATGGCAGTTAATCTGATGATGGAGATTTCTGTCCTGGGCAACTGGGGGGGGGTGGGTTGCAATGAAGATGGAAGATGGGTGAGTGTGTAACACTGTTATTAAATAAACAGCCTCCTTAAGGGTACCCACACTTTACCTGTACGATGATCACATATGTTCCTAACCCTGAATTATACCCCACATTTTTAAGAATAAAAATAGGTCAGGCACGGTGGCTCATACCTATAATCCTGGCACTTTGGGAGGCCGAAGTGAGAGGATTCCCTGAGCCCAAGGGTTTGAGACCAGCCTTGGCAAATTGACGGACTTCGTCTCTACAATAAATAAAAAATTAGCCAGGCATGGTGACATGTGCCTGTAGTTCCAGCTACTTGGAAGGTTGAGGTGGAAGGATCGCCTGAGCCCAACAGGTCAAGGCTGCAGTGACCGGGAGTGTGCCACTGTCCTCCAACCTAGATGACAGAGTGAGACTCCAGCTCAAATAAAAAATAAAAATAAGCAGCCTCTTAACTAGATTTCTTCTATCTAGATTCTCACCGAATCAATATGAATTTTCACAAATCTTTCATTCTGCTACTTTTCATAATTAAAGCCACCTCTGATGACTTTCTCTTTTCTGTGGCATAATCTTTTAGCTTTTGGGGTTGGCATTTAGCCTCCTCTTCTGGTTTCGTCACCCAGGCCCTTGTAGTATTAGCCTGTGGGACATGCCTTTCCTGTTTCTGCCTCAACGCCTTTCTCTCCCACAGGCGTCTCTACCGAATGCCCACTCACCTGTAAATTTCTCCTTGCTTCTACCTGTTTGACTCCACCCATCCCTCGGAGCACAGCTCAGCACCCCCTCCCATTTCTCCCACCCCTCACCCTTCACCCTAGCCTTTGTGGACTCATTTGGTCCTTATCCTACCCAGCCTTGGTCAACAGTCATAAATAGCCACATACAAGTCTTGTGTGTGCCCATCTGCGCTGTGAACTCCTTTTGGGACCAGGACACTGTGTTATATGTTGGAGGTACCTCTCCACCTTACATGCAGCTGGAGCCCAGTGAGGATGGGTTGAAAGGTCGACACAGTTAATGCTGATATATGTCCATGAAATGAAAACTTCTCAGGTTAATTGGTCAACTAAACATCTTATTCCATCAGGATACACGCAGTATTCCAAGTGATCATTTGCTTAAAGTGCTGAAAACTATGGAATCAGCAAGACAAGAGCAAGAAAGACAAATACCTAACATACAGCAAATTCGAGAATTCCTTGAACACCAGGTCAGCTGCAAAATTGAGGAAAAAGCATTACTCTCTTCAGGTAAGCCTGTTACCCATTGCCATGTCATTGCTGCAGAGGGGAGCTTAATTTAACAACCTCTTCATAATTTGAAATGGTTAATAAACTTTGGCACTTCATTGGCAACTCTCTTACTGTTATACTATTAAATGCTGGGTCTTGGATTATTATTATTGTTTTTTTGTAGAGAACAGGGTGTTGGTATATTGCCTAGGGTAGTCTCAAACTCCTGGCCCCAAGTGATCCTCCTGCCTTGGCCTCCTTAAGTGCTGGAATTACAGACGTGAGCCACTGTACCCAGTGGGATTTTGCTTTTACATTCAAAAACACCCTGGAGTTTGGACTCCAAACTCCAGAGATGGGATTGTTCATTTCCATGGCAGTACAGAGGATATTATACTGTTTACTTTTGCTTTTCACTTACAGATCATAAAGGCAATGGAGGACTCACAAGTGACATTATTATTCCAGATAAGCAGAGTGTTTCTCAAATGGATACCCTTTCAACTGGAGAAGTACCCCAAGTGATACAATTTCCTCCCAAAAGCAGACAATTGATGAGACAAAAACCTGTTTTTACTGATAGAACATCTGTTCCAAAGTGAGTATTTCCAGCTCTCACTTTAAAAAAAAATAATGTTTGTCTTAACTTGGGCTGCTGTAACAAAATACCATAGACTGGGTGACTTAAACAACAGAAATGTACTTTCTCATAGTTCTGGGTGCTAGAAGTCCAAGACCAAGGTGCCAGTATGATCAGGTTCTGGTGAAGACTCTCTTTCTGCCTCATAGAAGGTCACTGTCTCACTGTGTCCTCATGTGTTGGAGAGTGAGAGAGCTCTAGTCTCTCTTCCTTTCTTTTCTTTTCTTTTCTTTTTTTTTTGAGTTGGAGTCTCACTCTGTTGCCCAGGCTTGAACGTCCTGGCATGATCATAATGATCATGGCTCATAGCAGCCTCAATCTCCTAGATTCAGGCGATCCTTCCACCTCAGCATCCTGAATAGCTAGGACTACCTGCACATGCCCCCACGCCCAGCTAATGTTTTAATTTTTTTTTTTTTTTGTAGAGATAAGGTTTCCCTATGTTACCCAGGCTGGTTTTGAACTCCTGGGCTCAAGCAATCCTCAAGACTATGGAATCAGCAAGACACATCTTCTGTAATTCCACCCTTCCAAAGTGTTGGAATTGTAGATGTGAGCCACCGTGCCCAGCTCTCTTCCTCTTCTTATGGGGGCATTAATCCCATCTTGGAGGTCCCGCCCTCATGACCTCATCTAAGTCTAATCACCCTTCAAAGGCCCCGCCCTGAGACAGCATCACATTGGGGGTCAGATCTTCACCATATGAATTTGGGGGAATAGAAACAATGAGTCCATAACTGTTTGGCCTAGCACAGAATCACACCTGTAATTCCTACGAGTCTGTTGTTGACACTGGGAAAATTGTGTTGCTCCTCTCCTTCTTTAATATGATAAAAAAAAGAATCAGCAATTCCATAGGAATTTATCTTAAATTCCATAGGAATTTATCTTAAATCACTTATACAGTTTAGAAATATTTTTGATTTTCTTTTTCTTTTTCTTTTAGAAGTAAGAAAAGTGTCATGGAGGATCATTTTCCCAGAAAGTCTTCAACTATCACGTGAGTCTTGAGGGGTGGTAGAGAGGGTCATTTAAAACATTCTTTTCACTGAATGTTCCTTTCATTGTAGACTAGCGTGCTCATTGTAACTCACCAAAGCCATACTTATTAAGTATCATAATTAATTTGTGATTCCTTTGTGGTGTGTTGTTTGTGACATGTCTTTTTTTAAAGCCAGCTATTACATAGGTCAGTAGCACATAACACATTGTGGTCTCCATCTATTAAGAAGGACAAAGGCCAGGCGTGGTGGCTCATGCCTATAATCCCAGCACTTTGGGAGGCCGGGATGAGAGGATTGCCTAAGCCCGCGGGTTCGAGATCAGCCTGGGCAACTTGGCAAAACCTCGTCTCTATAATAAATTAAAAAATTAGTCGGGCGTGGTGGTGCGTGCCTGTAGTTAGTACCAGCTACTTGGAAGGCTGAGGCAAAAGGATTGTCTGAGCCCACCAGGCTGAGGCTGCGGTGGCCAGAAGCATGCCACTGCCCTCCAACCAGGGTGACAGAGTGAGACTCCAACTCAAAAAAAAAAGAAGAGGAACACACATCAGTCATTCTAGTATGTTTCCCCACCAAGGTTGAGTACTTTCTCAATTAGCACGTTTAAATTAAATGGTTGATGTTGGATTTTGGTGGCTGGATCTGTTGCCGTTTTAGTGTTCTAGCTCCTTGTAGAAGTCGATAATAACCCGAGACCTGACTCTTAGGCACTCTTAAGATACTAAGCATCCCATCTCAGGTGCCTATCACCTGTGTGTGCCAATGCTTCAGCTGGTTGCTGTTTTAAGCCTGTTTTCTTGTTCATAATATGGGATGTTTTAAGCCTCAATTTTCTCATCTGTACTAAGGGATAATGCCGCTTTTTTCAGAGGACAGGTCTACAAATTAAATGAGAATATATGAAAGGGGCTTGACTCAATGCTTGACACTTATTGGGTACACAATAAATCATAGGCATACATTATTATTATGAGTAAGACTACTCTTACCATAATTGAATTTCATCATCCTTGCCTTATTCTGGAGATATTGATGCCATATGTAATTCTTCATCGAGATACCGTAGAGATAATAAATAATGATTCACCTTCCAGAAGCACTTTTCATATACCTAATCTCACAGGAAGAGCTTTATTTCACAAAATGTAGTATGACTGAATCAACATTTACAAGACTGACACATTGTCTGGAATTTAGGGGTTCGATAGCATTCTTTTTTTTTTTTTTGAGTCAGAGTCTCACTTTGTTGCCCAGGCTGGAGTGCAGTGTCATGCTTCCGGTCACCCCAGTGTCTACCTGCTGGGCTCAGGCGATCCTTCTGTCTCCGCCTTCCAAGTAGCTGGAACCACAGGCACACTCTACCACGCCCAGGTAATTTTTTTATTTTTATTGTAGAGATGAGGTCTTGCCAAGTTGCCCAGACTGGTCTCGAACCCATGGGCTCAGGCAATCTCGCACCTCGACCTCCCAAAGTGCTAGGATTACAGGCTTGAGCCACCACGCCCGACTGATAAATATTCTTTAAATGAATGCACACTGTCCTGAACTTCTATTTCATTTTAAACTGGGGTTGATAATTCATGTGATAATACAAACGAGATTGTGTATGTGAAAGCACTTTGTAAGGTGCAGTATAAAGGCACATTATAAGGAATGACTCTTAAAAGAGAGAGTAGTTTATTTGAAAATTTAAAAAAATTTTTTGTAGAGACAAAGGCTTGTTATGTTGCCTAGGCTGGTCTCGAACTTCTGAGCTCAAGCAATCCTCCCACCTTGGTCTCCCAAAGTGCTAGGATTATAGGTGTGAGCCACTGCACCTGACTCAGATGGAGTAGTTTTTTTGAGGATAATGTTTTTCTTCCACTAAGAAATGTTTTTCTGGGCTGGGCTCGGTGGCTCAGCCCATAATCCCAGCATTTTGGGAGGCTGAGGCAAGTAGATTGCCTGAGCCCCGGGGTTTGAGACCAGCCCGGGTAACTTGGCAAGACCTACAATGAACAAAAGATTAGCCAGGCATGGTGGCACACGCCTGTAGTTCTGGCTACTTGGAAGGTTGAGGCAGAAGGATCGCTGGAGCCCAGCAGTTGGACTCTGGGTGGCCATGAGTCACTGCACTCCAGCCTGGGCGATGGAGTGAGAGGCCCACTCAAAAACAATAAATAAATAAGGAATGTTTTTCTTATAGGTGTGAAAATCCAAACAATTAAGAACATACACAATTGGGTTTAGAGGAGAAAGGCCCTAACTTCAGTCCATTTTGATAAACAGGCCCCTTGGTTGGCAGGTCTGGATTTGGGAAGGGCTCCTCCGCCCTGGGCCCTGCTTCCATCATGGCTGTGGCCACACAGGCATTTGTGTGTTGTGCTCATTGGGAATTACCTGAGAAAGTTCTCACCACTTAAAAGAGGCCTATCATTTGTAACTCCTGAAACTTAAGAAAACGGTGCCCCCGTCTCGGTTTTGTTTTGTGTAGGACCCCTCCCTTTAGTTCAGAGGAAGAGCAGGAGGAGGGCGACTTATTCCAGGTATACACATCCCCAGACCTACATCCTGTGCAGCCGTCTAAAAGTGACAAGAGTAGCTTTGGAAAGAACACAGTCAAAAGTGACACGGATTGGACCGATGGAAGCGAAATCGAAGACTTCAGTGCTTCTCCCATGCCCACAGGTGAGCTTCTATCATTGCAAAACCTTTCAGAAACTTTTTTGGGAGACAGTGGTCCTCACCCGGAGGCACCAAGCACTGGGTGTCTGAGCTGGGAGAGTTTGTGAGGAGAGAATGGGACTGGCCCCAAAGGTGCCTCCGGAAAATGGTCCAGGCTTAGCAGTTGAAGGAGAGGAAGGCCTTGAGGATGTCTGGTGTGTTCATTTCCTAGGGCTATCGTAACCGTAACAAAGTACCACAGACTGGGTGGCTTAAACAACAGAAATTTTCTGTGTCACAGACCTGTAGGCTGGAAGTCCAAGATCAAGGTGTTGACAGGGTTGGTTCCTTGTGAGGGCTATGAGGGAAGGGTCCTTTCTGTGCTTCTGTTCCTGGCTTGTCTTCTCCCTGTTCATCTTTATTTGTTTTGTTTTGTTTTAGTTGGAGTCTCACCCTGTCACCCAGGCTGGAGTGCAGTGGTACACTCAAGGCCCCTGCAGCCTCGGCCTGCTGAGCTCAGGCAATTCTTCTGCCTTAGCCTTCCAAGTAGCTGGAACTATAGGCACGTACCACCATGCCCAACTAATTTTTTGATTTATTGTAGAGATGAGGTCTTGCCAAGTTGCCCAGGCTGGTCTCGAACCCTTGGGCTCCAGGCAGTCCTCGCCCTTCAGTCTCCCAAAGTGCTGGGATTATAGGCATGAGCCACCGCTCCCAGCCTTCCCTGTTCATCTTTATAGCCTCTTCCCTCCATAGGTGCATCTCTGTTCAAATTTCTCATTTATATGACACTGGTTATATTGATTAGGGCCCACCCTAATCACCCCACTCAATGTTGATTACCTCTGTAAAGATTCTGTCTCCAAATAAAGTCCCATTCTGAGGTACTGGGGCTAGGACTCCAACAAATGAATTTAGGGGTGCACAATTTAGCCTGTAATACTGGTGGCTATGGGGAATGACTGTTCTAATACGCTGCCTTTTGGAACTGGGATTATTCTAATGGATGACAAGATCTTTGTGGACAATTTACTGAAGAGATGTGGCACTGATGGGTCATTTTTTAAAAAGAAATTCTGCTTAATTAATGCAATTTAAAAAATTATAGGCCATGCTCGGTGGCTCAGCCTGTAATCCCAGCACTTTGGGAGGCTGAGGTGAGAGGATTGCCTGAGCCCACGGGTTCGAAACCATCCCAGGCAACTTGGCGAAACCTCATCTCTACAAGATATCAAAAATTAGCCGGGCATGGTAGTGCATGCCTGTAGTTCCGGCTACTTGGAAGGTTGAGGCAGAAGGATCACTGGGGCCCAGCTGGTCGATGCTGGGGTGGCCCTGAGTGTGTCACTGCCCTCCAGCCTAGGCGACGGAGTAAGACTCCAACTCAAGAAAAATAAGTAATAAAGTAATATATTTTGAACATATCAGATGTAATTAATTTATATTGTATATAGTTTATATATACTGCATATTTATGTAAGTATGCAGAATATAATTCATTTTTTTAAATTCATAGTTTTTTTCTTAATATTTTTTATTATGATATTGTGGGGTACAATTAAGGGTTAGGTATACAAATATGCTTCGTTCAGGTACCCTTTCATATTGTTTTTGAAAATACTCATAGGAATATTCCATTCGTGCAGGTTACCTAACTGAAATTAAAATTTCTGACCACATACTTGAATGAGATTATTCTTTGATTCAAAATGAAAATTTTATAGCTCCTAGCCTAGAGGATCATTTTTTTAAAGGAATTATAAGTGTTTACCTTTTTTCTTAACACCAAAACACACCAATTGGTTTTATTTTAATAAATACATCATTATGTGCAAAACTTAGACTCTTTCAACATTTCCTGTAAGGTTGTTTTGGAACTGAAGATAGATAGAATTTTTAAAAAACTTTCCTTGACTAATTTCTATTGATTTTATAGGAACCTCCATTAAAACGCGAACTGAGAAAGTTGAAAAGATGGTTTCACATCACAGAAATGTGACTAAACCAGTTGGTGGGATTAATGTTGCTGAGATGTTTATCAAAAAGGAAACATTACAAGAAGAACTAAAGGTGAAATCACTTTTACTGCTAAACATCCATAAACTTATCTTTTGACAAATATACCTTCATGATTGCATTTTTTGTCGTAAAATATAAAACAAAGATCATTAGTACGGCAGAGGTTGAAATTTTCACCTTGTCTTGTTTTCAGTATTGTCTTTCTTTCCATACCACAGATACTCAAAGATATTCAAGTGACAGCTGATAATAGTACACAGTATCACGCTTTACAGATTTTAAAAATTCTGTTACACGTGTTATTTGACGCTTGCAGATATCACGTGGTTTGTACAATGAAACTTGTGACTGGCTGGAATCTGGGACCTCCTGATCCAAGTCCAGGGACTTCTCTGCTATCCTGGCTTGACCTTAGGGACATTTGAGGACTTAGCCACATTTAGGAGCTGGAGTCAGTGGAGAGATGCTTCAGAGAGATACATGGATGGCAAGAGTTGAGGGCAGAGCCTGAGTTCCTCTGCCTGCTTCGGGAAGAAGCCTAAACATTTTCCAGGTGGTTCTGTCACCCAGGATGCCATAAATGTTTCTGTGGGTGGCGATTTGCCATTGCATTTCCTATTGCGGGGTGCAGCTTATCTGTGTTGACATTACTCTTTTTTTCGTTTTTCACTTAAATTAGATTTAATTCTTTAATTTTAATTTAAAAAAAAATTTTTATAGACAGGATCTCAGTCTGTTGCCCAGGCTGGAGTGCGTGGTGTGATCATAGCTCACTAAAACCTCCAACTCCTGGTCTTAGGGATCCTCCCACCTCAGCCTCCTAAGTAGCTGGGACTACAGGCGTGGACTGCATCCGGCTAATTTTTAAAAATTCTTTTGGAGACGAGGTCCTACTTGTTGCCCTCGCTGGTCTTAAACTCCTGACCTCAATCAATTCTCCTGCCTTAGCCTCCCAAAGTGTTGGGATTACAGGTGTTAGCCACCGCACATGGCAACGTTTAATTCTTTTTTTATCAATATTTTTTATTATGATATTGTGGGTACAGTTAAGGGTTAGGTATACAAATATGCTTCGTTCAGGCACCCCTGGCAACATTTAATGCTTAACCCTTCTTATCTATGGAGTCCAGAACATTTTGTCAACTTTTTTTATTTAGTGCTAATGAAAAATGACAAAAGGTCATATGCCATTCAAGAGGGAGCTAATATGTCTTCCTTTCGAAAGGAAGCCGGGTGCGGTGGCTCACACCTGTAATCCTGGCACTTTGGGAGATGAAAGCGAGAGGATTCCCTGAGCCCATGGGTTCGAGACCAGCCTGGGCAACAGGGCAAGACCTCGTCTCTACAATAAATCAAAAAATTACCCGGGCATGGTGGCACCTGCCTGTTGTTCCAGTTACTTGGAAAGCTGAGGTGGAAGGATTGCCTGAGCCCAGCAGATCAAGACTGCAGTGGCCGTGATTGTGCCATTGCATTCCAGCCTGGGCGAGAGTGAGACTCCGACTCAAAAAAAAAAAAAATGGTAGAATTGTCTGCTTCTTTCAGTTAGGGGCTATTTCTGCTGGGCCCTTGTGTGACATATCCCATAGTTAGATGTCATATTATCTCAGAGGTGGGAGCCCAGGACAGGTCTCAATCCAATTCTAAAGCACTCTCTTTTTTATTTAGTGTTTCATTCCCTTAAAACATAGTATTTTGGGAATTTTCTGAATTCATGATTGATAGAGTAGGAAACATATATTTCCATGGCAAGAAAAGAAAAAGATGATTCCGATTCCAAAACACCAACTGGCTGGTCCACTTCATTGCCCTACAGAGATGACCAGTGACCAGATTTGGGATCCTCTGTAGTTCCCGATTCTTATCGTTCGGTGTCAGCTGCTTGGTCTAACCAACAGAATGACGGAGGGACACTGTTTCTTTAAGAAACATTAATTATTCCCTGTGCATTTCTTTTAGTGCATAGATGTGGATGATGAAGACTGGGACATATCATCCTTAGAGGAAGAAAAACCTTTGGGGAGAAAAACCGAGAAAGAACAGAAAGAAGCACCACCCATGAAGAATGAACCAAATCCTAACCAAGTGCCAAATGCCTGGGTTGTGTTTAATCCTAAATGGCCCAAGAGAGAAGGTTTGCTGCCTCATGTCTAGCGGAAGCTGAGTCCATTTTCTGATCAGTTTTGCTTCTTTTATAAATATCTAATTAGCCTATGTTCATCTGTCATCAGACAAAAACATGCTATCTTGGTGCTCTCTTTGTGTTATTTTTAAAAGGACTATATATGTATAATTTACTAACTTGTGCATATTAACTCATTATTTGTTTACTTCATTTTAGGCCTAATCGTCAGTCCGTTAGTCTTTAATGATTTTTTATTTTCTTTCTTTCTTTCTTTCTTTCCTTCCTTCTTTCCTTCTTTCTTTCTTTCTTTCCTTCCTTCCTTCCTTCCTTCCTTCCTTCCTTCCTTCCTTCCTTCCTTCCTTCCTTCCTTCCTTCTTTCTTTCTTTCTTTCTTTCTTTCTTTCTTTTTAAGAGACATGGGATCTTGCTGTGTTGCCCAGGCTGGTCTCAAACTCCTGGGTGCAAGTGATCCTCCCAGTTTAGCCTCTTGAGTAGATAGAACTATAGACGTGTGCATCACCACACTCAGCTTTTATATTATTATTATTATTATTATTATTATTATTATTATTATTATTATTTGGGTTGGAGTCTCACTCTGTCACCCAGACTGGAGTGCAGTGGTACGCTCATGGCCACCCTAGCGTCGACCTGCTGGGCTCTGGAGATCCTTCCACCTCAGCCTTCCAAGTAGCCAGAACAGCAGGTGTGTGCTATCACGCCCAGCTAATTTTTTTATTTATTGTAGAGACAAGGTCTCACCAAGTTGCCCGGGTTGGTCTCTTACATTATTTTTGAAAATAGCCACACAAGTATTTTCTTCATGCAGATGCCCTATAGGAATTAAAATTTCGGATCATATACCTGCCTGTATAAGACCATTTTTCTGGCAGTCTTCCCGTATCTGTCTGTTTCTTTTGTTTGTTTGTTTGTTTTGAGTCGGAGTTTCACTGTCACTCAGACCAGAGTGCAGTGGCATGATTACCACTCACTGCAACCTTGACCTCCTGGGCTCAGGCCAGCCTTCCGCCACAGCCTCCCGAGTAGCCAGGACTCACCCCTATGCCTGGCCTCATTTTGAAAATTTTTTTGGAAAGACATGCTCTCACTATGTTGCCCAGGCTGGTCTCCAATTCCTGGACTCAGGCAATCCTCCTCCCTCGGCCTCCCAAAGTGCTGGGATTACAGGCATGAGCCACTGTGCCTGGCTGGCACTTTTTAAGTAACTTCATTTTTAAGCCCATCTACCCTAGAAAATCTGTTTGTTAGCACTTATTCTTTCTCTACTTGGCTTGTCAGTTTCATCCCTCTTTACCGTCTGTTCACTTAGGCTCTATAACAAGCAGCACACATGTACTGAGCGCTTTCAAAATCCAGGTCTCGTGCTGAAGGCTGGGGAAGGAGCAAGAAGCAGGACATGGCTTCTGCTGCTCAGACTTCCTAGAAACCTGTAGAGTGCAGGGCGAAGCTCACGTCCAAGGGTCCCATGAGCATACCCTAGCCAACTGATAGTTGAGTTTTACAGTAGTCGCCTACGTGGCTCATGGGGGCCAAGAGGTGGGGATTTGTGAACAGATTCAGACATAGTGATTGATGATGATAGGAAATTACAGAGTTTTACAGGCTTGACAATGTGGTTATTGACCCACTGGGACCTTCTCTCCCTCCTTCTTCCTCTCCCCCCACAGGACTTCAAGAAAATGAATCAAGCACATTAAAAAGCAGCCTAGTAACTGTGACTGATTGGAGTGACTCTTCAGATGTGTAATTCCACGTGTCAGAAGATTCTTCCAGAAGCCAACATTATTTCAGTCCCCTGCTACAGGATTCCAGTGCTCCAGCCTTACAATGTTTCCCCCAATAACAAGGAAGCGGATTCAAAGAACAAGGCTCTCTTTAATGACACCCAATTCAGTACTGGAAGACAAACTGTCAACAGTATTTTCAGACGTAGAAAGGTGTTTAAGACGTCTGCTGCTTTAAGATCACCTGTCATTGAAGTCATAAAATGTTTTTTTTTTTCAGAATGGTACTCTAGTGTTAAGTGTATTTTTTTCAATTAATGTGTAAGTGATTTTTTAAATTTTTACTTAAAGCAAGTTTTGGTTTGAATATTTTTTTAAAAATTTATTTATTTTATTTTTCTTATGCTTGTGTATTGTCACATTGGAAGTGTTTATATTATAAAATTCTACTAGTATTCTTAAAATTGAACTAGTAGAATCCTAAAGTTAGACCGGTTATTTTTTGTATAGAAGTAAATTTAGTCTCTAGTCATACCACCCTGCACGTGCCCGATCTTGTATGAGCTCAGAAGCTAATCAGAATCGGGCCTGGTTAGTACTTGGATGGGAGAAGTAAGTTTAGAATTATAACAATATAGCTAGGTCCATGTGAAATGAAATACATTTTCCACAGATACCTTTAGCATATTCATAGCTTTGAGCCCTGGTAAGCATGTTGCTATTAAACAGTTATTTTCTGCAGCATAATCTTTATCTTGGATATTTTATGAGTAAAATGTAGCTATTTTAAACACTTATTATTTTATCCAGTTATGAGTAGAAGAGTCATTACTGAATTCATATGTGTATGTAGGGTCTTTTTTTTTTTTTTTTTAACTTTTTAAAATACCTAACCCATCTTATAAAATACCTCAAAACTAATTTAGTTATATTCTTAAGCAATGACATTGTCAAAGCTTAGAAAGTTCATATAAACTGTTTTGTGCATTTTTATAACTTTGTGGTACTATCTGTATTCTGTTTCCAAGAAAAAATAACCTTTTAACTAAAAGATTTGTTGAGTTTTGGATCTCTTTTCATTTGTCAATCTTTTCAGTAAAGCCCTCCCTGACATCATTGTGACTGTGGCTAAGTTATTAGAAATGACTTCTGAGGTAAATTTGTACCTATTAGGGGACTTACTGAAAGAGAAGCTTGCTTTGGTAGCTGTGCTGATAACATCCTGACCTAATATGTAGGACTAATCGTTATCTGTTTCCACCCCCTCCAGGTGCTCTTTTTGTAGTTCATTCCTTCTCAAAAAATCCTTTCAGCTTCCCAAAGGGACCATTTCATGCAAATGTCCTCACTTTATATGTATGTTTCCAAAAGCTTTAGTAAAGGCTGAATCAAATTTTCATGTAGTAGAACAGAAAAGCAATCTGCAAAAATATGCCATGCCTAAGAAAGCCTATGGGTCACTTTATTTGCTTATTTATTTATGTATTTAGTCCGAGTCTCACTCTGTTGCCCAGGCTAGAAGGTGGTGCACACTGTAAGTAGCTGGAACTACAGGTGCACTCCCAGCTAATTTTTTTTTTTAGTTGGAGTCTCACTCCGTCACCCAGACTGGAGGGCAGTGGCACACTCACGGCCACCGCAGCCTCGACCTGCTGAGCTCAGGTGATCCCTGCGCCTCAGCCTTCCAAGTAGCTGGAACTACAGGTGTGCGCTACCATGCCCGGCTAATTTTTTATTTATTGTAGAGAAGTGGTCTCGCCAAGTTGCCCGGGTGGGTCTTGAACCTGCAGGCTCAGGCACTCCTCTCACCTCGGCCTCCCAAAGTCCAGCTAATTTTTTGATTTATTGTAGAGACAAGGTCTGGCCAAGTTTCCCGGGCTGGTCTCCAACCCCTGGGCTCAAGCAATCCTCTCTCCTCCACCTCCCAAAAAGTGCTGGGATGATATGCATGAGCCATTGCACCCGGCCTTTTTGGTTATTTACTGAACCATTGTGTTTTGTTTTGACCATGTATTCGCTCATTTAATTAGAACTTTACAGCCCTCATTCTATGCTTGTGTATAAATGTGAGAAACTGAGAGTTACTAACTTGGCAAATGCCACACAACTAGAAAGTGACTAGAACAGGCCATACAGAGGTCTCTTTTCCAAGTTCTGTTTCTGCCGTGTCTTTAGTCCTGAGCAGAAAGGCTTGGGAAAACGTGATGAATTTCTGTGAAGTCAACCCAATATTTAAGGCAAGTTGCTACCTCTGTGTCATGAAAGTCACTCTTTTTAACTTACTGGTTGTACCATGTTTTCCTATTATATCTGGTTCATTCATTTTTCTTTGGACCGTTACTTTATACTGCCCCCCTCACTGATGCCCCACTAACAAGTTTCTGGTCACCAACAGGACTTTTCTGTACCTTCATCCTCTACCCTCCCTAAACGCATCTGTATTATCTAAGCATCATCTTCACCAGTTCAGCCTTAAATTTTTTAAAAAAGTGTTTAAGCCGGGCTCAGTGGCTCAGCCTGTAATCCTGCGCCTTGAGAGGCTGAGGTGAGTGGATTGCCTGGGCCCGCAGGTTCAAGACCCGCCTGGGCAACTTGGCGAGACCTCATCTCTACAATAAATCAAAAAATCAGCCAGGCATGGTAGTGTGCACCTGTAGTTCTGGCTACTTGGAAGGCTGAGGCGGAAGGATCGCTGGAGTCCAGCAGGTCGAGGCTGCGGTGGCCGGGAGCGGCCACTGCCCTCCAGTCTGGGCGACATAGTGACACTCCAACTCAAAAAAAAAAAAATGTATTGAAAATGAGCCTTTAACCAGGCTCGGTGGCTCAGCCTGTAATCCCAGCACTTTGGGAGGCTGAGGTGAGAGGATTACCTGAGCCCGCGGGTTCGAGACCTGCCTGGGCAACTTGGCGAGACCTCATCTCTACAATAAATCAAAAATTAGCCGGGCGTGGTAGCGCGCA